GATAAATTTTTAAAAATTTGCTTCCAAAACATAGCACTTCATAATTTTACATTCAAAAATTTTAACATAAAAATTAATAGTCTACAGGAATTGTAATAGACATATTTTACCTGGATAATAAATGATTGGATCCAAATGCAAGAGCTCTTCTCCTCCAGACACCCTAACTAAAAAGGCTACAATGTAGGCTGATAAACTTCCGTAAGTATTGCAGTACTCCTTGAAATGTACAACCATGAGCAGTTGGGGGAATAGGATGACATAAACAAGGTCGGAACACATAGACCTAGAAAAACAAAAACAAAACGTAGATGTTTTATTGATATATTGATATATTGATTGATATATTGATATATTGAAATAAGAAATTAAATTCTAAATTGATTCCACATACAAATTCATTATTAAAATAAAATTACATAACTACCAGTTTTAGAAGATGATGGCCTTAGTGCCGAAATCGATTGTTATGTATTTTTCTTTTATTAAAGATCAACTAAAAGGAATATTTTTTATTTTTTTAAGAAGACTACATTGAAACGAATATGGAACTCGATAAAAGTATACTGGAATCTGCTGATGACACCCCTTTGGTACGAGCTGTAACATTTTTTGATAGAGAATAAAAAGATCCCTTATTTAACTTATCACCCACCCCTACCTACAATTTTAAAATGGAGGGTTGCAACTGTCACTCGAAAGGTGTTGAATTTGGGTATGAAATTTTAGATTCTAAAGGTACAGTTACATCTGACATTTATTGCATGATATTTATGTCTGACAGTTATTCAGTCCAGTGTAAACACACAAAAATTTCTCTCGGACATATATTTTTGAGTGTTTACACCTCCGAGCAATTACTAATAGAGGGAGCGTGAAAACGAGTTTGTAGGCGATTGTTGTGTTAGCAACATCTGTAGAGGAAGTGAGGAAGCGGGCACAAGGGGGAAGGTAAACATCCTTCTTGTTCAGTGGCGTATCATTTATCTATAAAAACACACACATTGTCCAAACGTTTTAATTGTAAAAAAAACTAAAAAATTTGCTAATTTTACTATTTTTAAAATGAATACCGTCTTATATGTGTAATGCAGGAACTGAAACAAAATCACTGTAAAGGTATAATTTTTTCAATTGAAGAATAAAACCTTAAAATCAATTTTATTATAAATAAATACAGGAGCGACTAGTTTCGGCCTTACAGGAACATCTTCAGGCCTGTAATACAATAATCTTTAATTATTATAATAGGTTGGTCACTTACGAATAACATTAAATAGTATAAACCACAAAAATGGTTCCATATTGTAGCGTTACAGCATTATAGAATTAAAGCTGTGAAAATAAAAGAGCAGTGCAAACGTAACTAAAAATCTGATGTGTCCAACACATGACTTTCCTATCTAGTTATATAAATGTTTAGAGGATAAACTAAATATATACATTGTCCACATACATCTACCTCGAAACATTTTTCTATAGATATTCATGGAAAACGAAAATACTGAAAAATTTTAATTTCCTACAATTTTTTCATTACGGTCCATTTTAGAAAAATCATGTATAAACAAAAATTATAGAGATCGATATCGCAAACAACTTTTATTTCAAAAACTTTCATAATAAAAATCAGAATTTTGCACATTTTGTCAAATTTCTCGAATACGGACCATTTCAGGAAATTTTTACATAAAACAAAAATTACAGATAATAATATTAGAAGTAACTTTTATTTGAACAATTTTCCTCTCCAAACATAAATAACAGATATATTTCATAAAATATAAAAACGGCCTCCCATAAAGTACCCCCCCAGATGTTCCGACTTTGTCCAAAATCTAATCATTTCACGTCAGGCCGAAATAAACCTTAAGTTTAAAATTTAATGTTTTTTTCTTTATCCGTTTTTGAGTTTTCTTCAAAATTCGAAATTTACACATTTTCTCAAATATCTCGAATACGGTCCATTTTAGAGAAATTATGTAGAGAATAAAAATTATAGAGAATTATATTACAAACAACTTTTATTTGAACAATTTTAATAAAAAAATATTTTTTTTACATTTTATCAAATTTCTCGAATACGGACCATTTTAGGAAAATTTTGTATAGAACAAAAATTATAGATAATACTATTAGAAGTAACTTTTATTTAAAAAATTTTCTTCTCCAAACGTAAATAACAGATATATTCCATAAAATATAAAAATGACCACCTATAAAGTACCCCCCAAATGTTCCGACTCTGCCCAAAATCTAATCAGCTCATTAGACGCTGAAACAAAGCTTAAGTTTAAAATTTGGTGTTTTTCTGTGTATCGGTTCATGAGTTATGCGTTATACAGACACACACACACACACAGACACACAGACACACAGACACACACACACACACACAATGCATTTAAATTGCTCGGGATAACAAATAAAGCTGATAATGTAGTGGTATAGTCCCCGTCAAAGAAGGTCTGGATATGTTAAAGAGGACGGCGTTTTCTCTGTAAATCTGGAGAATGTAAGGATGGAGGGAAGACGAATCTTGCTGGCTCAGGTGTGGATGGCTAGAAAAAGGAGCGTGTAGATGAAAGCTCCAGTAAATATCATCACTTTCGTCTAATTTTTTATTCTCACTCACCGTTTCGGCTTTATCTTCGAAATTCATTTTTAAAAGGAGATAAAAGTAATCATTCATACAAGCATATAATAAAACAACATGAATTCATTATATTTTTTAAGCTAATAAACGTTTGTTTTAATGAAAAAAACATATATGTAAATATAAAAAATATATAAATAGATAAGATTAATATCAAAATCAATTTGAAAATACAACAGATAAAATGAAATAAATTAATACAAGTACAAATAGAAAGTTAATAACATACCTTCTAAAAGTAACACATTTTAAGTAGATATGTTTAAAGAGTTTACTCCTGAACATAACTAATCTAACGTTTTTCCTCTTTTTAATATTATGAGGGTTTTTGTAGTTGAAATGAAAATTATAATTTATTTTAGTCCTAATAAAAATTTAAACATAGGTTATCAAAGAGTAAAATACATAATAGAACTTCATAATCTTAAATCGTTATCAAAAATTATTATTGGTAAAACTTCAAACAATAATTAGATTCCTTAACAAATTTTTAGTTTTTGTTTTGCAAAAGACTTTTTTGTCTTCTTCGGTTGCCTCTGTCGCTTTTTTTTAGTAGTTTCGAGGAGAATTTTTCTATGAAAACCAGTAGAACCATCAATTGGTTGGTAAAATTTTGATATTTTGGGTCTGGTAAGTCTTGATAAACTTTCTTCTTAGGAAGCTGTAACCTTATGGAGAATAAAAATTTAATGTTAGATCAAAAGCTCTCAATTGAGAATTATATTTGCAAAGCCCGTTTTAATAATATTTTTAAAAGTTCTTGGAATCGTTGTTAACAGAAACCTGCAAAAAATATATCATTCTATTCCTAAAATATAAGATTCACACAATGCACATTCATATAATATCATTGTGCTAGAAAAATACTAGGTAGGTACTGAGACAATTTAAAAAAAGTATTTCGAGAAACTCAACTTTTAATGTCATCATTGTACTTAACTTTTTTATTGCTAAATTATTAATAATTTCATTTTGTGTAGTTCGTTGTGATTTGTATAATATATATTATAAAAACCTATCCTCAATGTTAATGTGCCAAGTTTTTTTAATAATTATGTCCTTGTTATAGTAAAAACACATTTTTAAAGTTTTCTGGATTTCTGCTTTAAATTATCATACAATTGAACTGACTAATTGTGTGTTTAAGTAAAGGTATATATCTCTTTTTTGTTATAACAGCCTTTGTATATTGTTCTAACTTTTTAGATAATCAGAGAAAACAGTAAGACATCTTAATATATCCTATTTCACCAACAAAAATGTAGAATAATTAATCTCACATCAAAGGAAAAAAGTCATTTTAGGATGTCCTAATAGGTTTTAACTTGGCTATGCCTTTTTCCTTAAACATTCTTTTTGAAAGAAACTTAAGTTTCTCTACTTACTTGCTGTTTTAGTATTTTAGTAGCAGATGAATATAGTGTAGAAGTAGTGACAGGATTGATTATTATACTTCTTTCGTCGAAATTGCATTTTTCTTTAATATTTTCCTCCCTTGAGTTCTGTAATAAAAATGTTCATTATCATAAAAAGTTATTAAGGTGGTCACTTGTTGAATTCCTATATTTTGGAACCATGTATTTCTTTCTCATATCAAGAAAAGGAAACCTAAAAAAAATAATAAACTTTACAAAGATGTGATATTAAAATAATAATGAGTAATTAACCTTTACTATAATCATTATGAGACGGATGAAGACGAACTTAGCTGGAGTTTACTTGCTCTTAATTTTAATTTTTCGATAAGAAAATAAGAAAGTTTAATTGCAAATTAAAGGTGATTGCCTAATGCACCGCCTCTGATAATTAGGTTGTGTCTGTACTTACTTATGATATTATCTTGAAGAAGCATTTTCAACAGGCCTTTTACACATAAAGCATGTTTTCACCATATTATTAGAGATAATTAATCTTAAATATACATTTACAACCCTTATATACAACGTTATAAATAATAATATTTTCCGTAAAATACAAATAAGAAATTGACATGTATCAGAAAGTGTCAGAACTGGGAACTGGCGCTGTCAAACTTGGCAACGCTGATTAAATAAACCAATTACAGAAGAGGTATTTTCCCCCTCGGGGGGAGTAGATGTTGCTAACAAAATTTAGCGCGGGGAAGGGGGGAAGACTCCCTCTAGTAGTAATTGCTCGGAGGTTTACACTGGAATAAACAACTGTCAGACATAAATATCATGCAATAAATGTCAGATGTAACTGTACCTTAAGATGTTATTTCAGAATATATAAAAGTGACATCTTTTGTGATTTTCTATAAATATCCTGAATAATAATTATTCAGATACCGAATTCATTCAATTTCATACTGTACGAAATATTTCAAAAAAATTTAAATAGTAAAGATTGGATAATTCAATACATCAGAAAACAATAAAGGAAGACGTAAAGCAAATATATGACTCTTATAATTGTTTATTTTAACTTACCATAGTCCGTATATTGACGGGATAGTCAAAGCCATCACAGTAGCCAGAAATCCAACAATTAATATCGAAACCCTCATAACCCATATTATCTCCATTTCTGATGCTTTCTGTCTGAATATCAACTTGTAAACATTCCTCGCGAACATGGAACTAGCTGAAAGTATACTGGAATCTGCTGATGACATTACAGCTGCCGACACAGCACCCAAACCGAAGAACGAAACGAAACTCGGAGTTAGATATTGTAATACCATGGGCAAGATCATGCTGGTTTCGTCGACTGTCAGAGGATACGGCCCTTTGTAGTCTGTCTCGTTCCAAGCTAAGAAATAAAAATTATAATATATAAAAAGACTGAAGAGAGTAGTACACATCAAACATGAGGTACAATTGTAAAAGAATTATTTTATTTTCTATACAAATAAATTTTATGTTACGTAACATTCGGTTTGTCTATGAAAACAATCACAATCTTTGTTTATGTTAACGATCCAATTTTTCTATGGTTAACACCATTAAGATACATAGGTATCGAATTACGAATAAACGAACTGAGGGTAACATCTGAAGCAGGCATAAAAGAAAAACCATTTGAAATTTGAATGAGTTTCTTTCCGAAACAAAATTGAAAGTTTGTTTTTAATTAATAAAAATAATAATATTGGTACTTTACAAAAGGAAGTCTCTGCTTTTTTCTCTAAATTCTTACACCTTAATTTATAGTTTTTTTTCTTGTAGTTCTTAGGTTTTTAGGTGTTTGTAGAAAATGAAACTCGTGTGTGTGTGGGTGAAGCTTTCGGCACTGATCAGTGCCTTCTTCAGTAGTTTTTATTGGTAACATTTTTGTTGTCATTAAAACCTTGTTTTTTTTTTAAAAATAATGAGTTTACATCCGAAATTCTTTGGTACAGAACTTAAGGTGTGTCATTAACACTGTTAAAATAAATTAAACTTTTTTTATATTATTTTGTTTCCTATATTGTTTTTATATTCCTTATTTCCTTGTCATGTCCGTTGATGGTGTTCTTTAAGTCCTTAACGGTAAGCTATGTAATATACAGGGTGTAACTAAATAAGTGTAAAACATTTAAGGGGGTGATTCCTCATCGAAAAAAAGATAGGATCTTTCATATAAAGAAACTTCATTGGAGCGTCCCTTGTTAAGATACAATCCCTTAAATGGGGTACATAAAATTTGTTTAACAATTTTTTTCACAAGCACTAAACAAGTTACAATATTGAAATTAACCTGACATTTTCTACTACCAAAAAGACACTTAGCAAGTAATTTATTTGGTTTACCCCAAGGTTGTAAGGGGTGGATATCAAATAGAAGAGGGAGACTTACCTAACTTGAAGCCACTTCAAATCCTACACTTCCTTGAGAAAATAGGATTGGAAGGGTCGCTATAGGCATTGAGACATTTCCTTAGTGCAGTGGCGACAGAAGGAGGCACAATAGATCTTTTAGGTCGCAGTGTATTAACACCCCATTATCAACATAACATAAGGGGTGGAAAACGCAACCCCTACAATTTCGTTCCAACGTAACTTTTTGTCTTATTATTTGTTTAACATTTAAAAATTTATTTCCGATAGCCTGTTTCATTCTAAACAAAAAATGTCTTTTGAATTTTTTGCCCAAAATAAACCAGTCCGCAGCAAAAAATTATTTTACGAACAAGATAGATATCGCCATAAAACGAAAATACGAAACTAATTTATCTAGTACTGACAATACTAAAGTTACGTTGGAACGAAATTTTAAAGGTTGCGTATTCCACCTCTTACAACCATGTGGTAAACCAAATAAATTACTGGCTAAGTGTCTTTTTGGTAGTAGAAAATGTCAGGTTAATTTCAATATTGTAACTTGTTTAGTGCTTGTAAAAAAAAATGTTAAACAAATTTTATGTACCCCCTGTAAGGGGCTGTATCTTAACAAGGGATGCTCCAATTAAGTTTCTTTACATGAAATATCCTATCGTTTTTTCGATGACGAATCACCCCATTAAATGTTTTACACTTATTTAGTTACACCCTGTATTTCATTATTGTGTATTAACGTATATAGTAAAGTTTAAGAATCATTATTCCCCTTGGTTTAGTTTTTCGGTTATTTTCAAAATAAAAAAAAGTAAAGTTTTACTCATTATACAAAATATATAATATTGAAGCAGCCTTTAGAGAATTTCAGAGAATAAAAGTTGAGATTATGGCGGATTTAGATACATTGTATTCTGTTCAGCGTTGCCAGCAGCGTCTGATTTTTCGTACTAAATTCTGTGGAATTTTCGTAACAGATTAGGATTTTTCGTAATAGACTATTTTTTGTGGAGTTTTCTGAGTAATTATTATTTAAATGAACAAGGTGCATCAGCTGTTGCTTTTTATGGAATTATATAAATATTATAAATTATATTTATTATTACTTGTCACTCTTGTCATAAAATAATGGAACGTAGAGGATTACGATCATGGTTGTTACGTAAAATTGATATAGATGTCGTTACTGGCCAAGTTTACAGTCGAAGTTTTTTCAAATAAACATAAATTTGCAGAAGAAATAAAACTCAGAAGATCTGCTCCTGCTTACATTTTATTTCAAAAAAAAAAATAAGAACAAATATTCTTGCAAAAGAAACAAACAAAAAAACAAATACAAAACAACAAAAAAAAAACATTATTTTAAAGAGAAAAACTTCCTCATTACAACATTACGAAATATAATAAAGATTTTGTGTAACATATACTTAACTAGAATTACTAGAAACTAGAACTAGAACCAGAAGTAACAGGTAACTAAAAGAAATAGGAACTACAAAGTCATCACATGAAAAAACTTGCACAAAAATAATAAATAGCTTCAAGTAATGTTGAGATATGATAAGTTTACTTACTTGCTCAACATAATTTTTGTATTCTTGAAAAACAAATGCACCATAAAACAAGAAATTTAGATCAATGAAGATAGAAGATAAACGGCAGAACACAAATCATAATACACATTACACATCAAATAAACAAAAACAAAAACGTCAAATTTTTAAAAGTGAGGTTAGGATCAATTGTGTGGTAGTGGCTCCAGTTTTTAAAAACGACGGCGTAATTAGAGTTATGGTGCAAGCTGCAAAACCAGTATAGCACGTACAGGGGTACAAATTTTCGCTTCTTTGGTTAATTTGAATCCATTTTTTGAGATTTTTTTAATTAGAGGCATATAGCAAAAACGTAATAGATTGCTGAGCGGCGTAATAGCGTAATAAATAATTGCCTTTAGTAATAGATATGTTACGAACGTAATAGCGCTGGCAACGCTGATTCTGTTCATGTGAAGACAGCTGAATCAAAGATATGTTCAGACCTAAGCAAATTCTAGGCATATGTTATTCAAAGACGTGGAAAAACTTCAGTCCATTGCAATGCATTATAATGGTGAGTGAGTGAGTGAGTTAAATGATGCTTCAGACATCGTAAATACATTTGTAGATTTATTTAGCAAATAGTATATCTCATCTACATCTGTTGATATTAACGCTCTTGCTGTTTTATTGCATGAAAATTCCTTATCTATAAATAATTTTACCCAAGATGAAGTTCTTTTATCAAGTATACAAATTAAAAGCAGCAATAAAACTGAAAAATTTCAGAAATGGAGTGTTTTACAGAGATCAACCAAGAGTTCTTTTTTTGTGACAAATTTCGTAAGGAACAATTATTAATCTTATCTTTTATAAAATAAAGGATACTCAAGAAGTTTGGATTAAAATTAATTTCTTAACCCTTGATTTTACGCCAATGGGTTATCATAATTTATCGAAAGTGGATGTGTTATCTAATATTGACGATTAACTGACATAAAAATATTATATTTAACGTAAGGAAAGATATTTAGAAAATTAGGTACTTATGAAATTCACTTTATCCCTCTATAAAATGAAAACTGGGACAGTTACAGAAAAATTATATTTAGCTTTTCTTATTATTTAGTTAAGATCTTCAAATTTCTTTATTTGCGGTACTTTATTCTTAAACTCCCTGTATAAGACAGTAATTTGAATTTGAAAAACTTACCTGTAGATTTTGCAATGGCTCCTATCAGCACAGGTGGTATAGCCATCAAAACGCATCCAAAAGCAGCCACGAATGAAAGCACCTGCGCTCTACCAGCCGATTTGCTACTTAAAACCCTTTGGAAGTACACTTGCCACGGAATACCGCCGAATATCAGCAACAATGCATAATCAATGTAATAGAAGTACTCTTCTCTTTTCACTTCCCCAATCCAATCCACCTCCATGGAAGATAATGGAGCAACATGATCGTTCAACCAAGCGAATGGAATGCACATCCATAGCCCAATGAATATACAGAACAGTTGGATCACGTCGGTATAAGCGACAGCGTAGAGACCTCCAAATAATGTGTAGAACACGGCTACGCAAGAGCTGAAGATGACACTAGTTCGATTATCCATGTCGATAATGACACTGAGAGTGGCACCTAAGGCTGCTAGTATACCTGCTGCCCAAAAAACTTCTCCGCAGAGGGCTGGTAGAAAAAGAAGACCACCCATTCTTTCTCCAAACGAATCCTGTAAAGGATCCAACATAGTGATGTAGCCTTGTTGTCGCATTTTGTTCGCGAAGAATATGCCGCCGAAGACTAAGCTTAGAGAGTAGCCGAATGGAGCTTGGCACCAGACTAGTCCTGAGGAGTAAATGGCTTCTGCAGTCCCGTTGATGTAGCCTCCGCCGACCCATGTTGCTGAAAAATAATAATATATTTTAAAAACAGTTGTTTAATAACAATACAAATGACGAATTCAAATTTATTGTTTTCAGTCATTTATTTTCTAAAAAAAATTACAAAGTGGAAACAAACCAGCTTATAAATGAGACTAATATAAAAATTAATAAAATTGATAATTATAAACATTAAAGGGCTGAAAAATATTACGAAAATATAGATTTCAGGCAATTGCATCCCGGAAAAATACGCTCCGGACAAATAGACCCAGACAAATGCACCCTAACAAATTGCCTGCCGCGATAAATACCTCAATATATCGCTATTTCATTTCAAAACTGAAACATTTCTAAAATTTATGATTTGAGATTAGAATGTATTCTTATTACAAGTAGGGCAAGATCTATACACATATCTTGCTAAAAATTTGGGACTTATTATAAATAGCAATTTGAATTTTAATGAACATAATAATTATTTAGTAAGCATTTCATACTGAAAATAAAAATCAATTTATCATTTGAAGTTTCTCTTGAGTGAAAACAATAAATAAAACTTATTAAAACTCTTATATATTCTCATCATGATTACCGTTCTATAGTTTATTACTATTTTCTTAGTAAATATAGTAGTTTATTACTATTTTCTTAGTAAATATAACCAAGAGAAACTTCAGAAGATTCAAAATTCCTGTATGAGATTTACTTGTAATATTCCATATAGAGATCATGTTCCTCCATACATCCGCAGGCTAAATGAATACAAAATTCAGGAAAGGGTAAAATATTTATATTAACGCTTCAGTAAGAAAATGTTACTACTAAAAAGTTTACTGTGTTTCTAAAACTTTTACTGCTACTGTTAAATTGTTTAACAACAATTGTAATATGTGTTACTAGGACTGTAAAGATTTTAATGTCTAAAATTCCACAGTATTTACATAATATCTTACTTGTTAGTAAGATCAACTCTACACAATGTAAATTTAAGAGTCAACTCTTTTACAACCCCAGTGCATAGAACTTTTAAATTCCAAGGTTGTTTTAGTTTTGTTGCACCATTATTATTGAATTCAGAACTTAATTATTTAAATCTGAATTTTAATAATTTTATTAAGACTATGAGGCAAGTTCTTATTTCAAGATTATGATTTAATTTAAAATAATTATTTTGGGAACATTTTTTTTTGCTGTTATAATGAGGTTGAATTGAAAAACGGCTTAGCCGAATTCATTCCTTTTGAGACACATGTATTTATAATTGCTCAATAAAATTTATTATTTATATTTTGTTCTACATTTTCTTCTACAAAATCTTTTACGATATTAATGTTGAACTCTACTGATCATGCCCTTCTTGCCAAGAATACATTCTTATCTCAAATTATGAAGCTTTTAAACTACGTTTTGAACTGTTAATGAAAAGGCGCCAATGGTCAGGAGTGAATTCTGACAAACCCATTTTTTCAAAAAGTCCTTTTATATCGTTACAGAACACCAGGATATTTTCCCGAGTAAAAAAACGAGGCAGATCCTTATTTTTTACGATAAACTGTATCTGGATAAAGAAGGTTGTTTTCTTTTAATCTAGATGCAAGTAATTCAGCAGACTCCTTTGAAAATTATAGGTCTCTTATGCGAACGTACTGTTCTTACTGATTGAAAGGATAAGGAGTTAGTTTTTGAATCATCATGCTGTATATCAAGAAGACTGTTGAAGAATGGAGTGGGTATTTCTTCCAAGTGTAATACAGGTCTTCATGCAGAATCTATATCAAGATATGTCCATTTATATCTGTTGTTGCAATTTATGCCTTTAATATTAACCAAACAAAAATGGCAGTCATACAAACTGTTAGAATACCAAACTTTAGACGCCTCCTATTTCCAATTGTCCACTGGTGCAAATGTTAAGTATCTGTTTTTATAAAACATCTAGTTATATGAAATTATGGAAAATTGAAGTAAATTTTAGACAGTCAATAAGATTTCGAAATTGTTTATGCAAACATAGAAGTGAAGCCACAAATCTTCTGCTTCCATACCAACGAGAGACAAATGTTTTTATAATATCTTGTGAAGTGCCAATATGTAATTGTATTTAATCTCAATAACTAAAAAATATACTGACAATTAGTTTAACAGAATTCTTACTCATTTGAAATTTAGAAAAATATTAGTATCCTGGTGACCAAATATGAACTGTGGTTGGTGGATTTCATATCCGTACAGTGGTCTTAATAGAATACATAAATATATTTGTTCAGTAGAATACAATGGCCTACTTTTTCGTTCTGTAGTCTGTACGTAGAATAAATAATATACAGGGTGTTTATTAAGTACTTGTACAAACTTTAAATGGTGAATATTTGACTTATTTTAAGGCGAAACGTTCATATGAACACATGTCCTAAACTTCTTAACTTTTGAGCTAATGAGGTAATGTTTTCAGAAAAAAATTTTTTTTTTTCTAATAACTAAGAATATTGCAGATATTTTTACGAAATTTGGTACACGTCTCCTACGCATTATGATGCATTTTTTAATGTACAAATAATTTTATTATTTCTATCAGTGGCGCCCGTACGGGTTTCGTATTAAATATTTTTACCGAAAAAAATTGTACGCCACTGCTTCATCTTAAATAACAAATATTTTTGCAATCCTCATTTAGTTTTGAGCAAATTTGGTCTGATAAGTTTTTTTTTCTCCGACGCATAGTTTTCGTCCGACGCATAGTATTCTGCATGGAACAAGTGAAAAATGTGTGTTTTATTGATCAATATTGTTATGTGATAAACTTAGATTATTTACAGACTAAGACTAAACTACTTTTACAAATAAGTTAATAATATTTACAACAATTGCTGAAAATGCCCGCCGCCTACTGCAACGCATGCGTCAATTCGCCTTAACATTGATTGACGTACTCTCGAATATACCTGGTGTCTGATTAATAATGGCACACGATTCAAATATCCTGTTTCTTAGATCTTGCTCATTTTGAACGGATGTTTTGTAAACTAGTGTCTTTAAGTGACCCCACAGAAAAAAAATCCAGAGGATTTAAATCTGGTTATCTGGGAGGCCAGGCTTGAGGTCCCGCTCTTCCTATCCAACGATTAGGATAATTCTCGTTCAGATATTGACGTGCAGCCAAACAAAAGTGTGCCGGTGCGCCATCGTGCATGAACCACATCCTGTTTCTGGTAGCCAAATCAATTTCTTCTAAATGTTCAGGAAGCTCGTGCTTCAAAAATCTTCTGTACTCTTCGCCATTTAGCCTTTGTGGAAGAATGCAAGGTCCAATAAGGTGATCCCCGATAATTCCAAACCAAATATTTAGAGAAAAACGATCTTGGAAATTATTTTCTATGATAGCATTGGGATTATCCTCAGACCAGATATGGTTGTTGTGGAAGTTCATGATGGCGTTTCGAGAAAAAGAAGCTTCGTCTATAACAAGTACATGGCCTAATAAATCCGGGGTTGTTAATAATTTATTTCGCAGCCAAACGCATAAATCTACTCTGAGAGGAAAATCTCTAGGTAGTAATGCCTGTACACGTTGAATATGATAAGGATAAAGTTGTTGAGATTTTAAAATTTGCCACACAATTGTATGCGTAATATTCAATTCATGAGCAATTTTCCTTGTACTAGTTTGCGGGTCTTCTTCAATTCTATTTAACACAGCTTCTTCAATTTCAACTGTTCGAACTGTCGCAGGCCTTCCTGGGATATCAATTGTTCTTTTAAAGCTGCGTGAATATGAATGAAAGTTTGGACATGTGGAACCACCCGTTGAGGAAATCGGGCTTGATACATTCTTTTTGCAGCTTGTGCATTACCGTGAGCCATTCCGTAGACGAAATGAATGTCTGCCATTTCTGCATTGGTATATTCGTACATTTTGAACACAATAATAGACAATAAATTATTACATACATGCATACATACATTTTTAAATGACAAAAACCATGATCTTTTTTTTTAAATAAACTGTCATGACTGATTCCGCTACCATGGAAACCTCTTGGTTGTTTGCAAGGCTTACTATGCATGTATGTACAATTGTACATTTCAGCAATTTGACTCTGAAATAAAACGGATTTTATTTTTTAAAGCGTAAACTATGCAACGAACGAAAAAACTCAAGAAACTAAATTTGTTTAAAAGTAAATGAGGATTTCAAAAATAATTTTTGTTTTAAGATGAAGCAGTGAAATACTATTTTTTTCTGCAAAAATATTCAATACAAACCCCGTAGGTATGAACGCCACTGATAGAAAACATAAATTTGTACTTTAAAAAATGCATCTTAATGCATAGTATACGTTTACCAAATGTCGTAAAGATATCTACAATAGTCTCACAGTTATTGGAAAAAAATAGATTTTTTTCTGAAAACTTTACCACCCTATAGCACAAAAGTTAAGAGGTTTAGGACATGTGTTCATATGAACTATTTGCCTTAAAATTAGTCAAAGAGTACAAGTACTTAATAAACACCCTGTATATTTGAGTGTAGAAAAAATCATATTTTCTCGATGATGGCTTTTATGATGAAACCAGTTGCCTAGTAATATTCTAAAGAAACACAAAAATAAGTTAGTGAACATAAAGGTGTTTAATCGAATTAGTGTTTTTATTATTTGAAAAAATATACACCTATAACACTTTATTAAAACTCCTGAAATATGTTTGTAGTGTCCACTCTTCCCAGCTTTAGACGAACATACTACCATTTACCGATTTCTACATCTTGTGAATGAGAACTTATTAGTAACTGGCTTACAATAGAATGTGGATTTGATTTAATAGCACTAGTTTGAAGAAAAAATGCATAAACCGATACATGTTTATCACCAAATTCACTCTTCTCACATAAAATTATATGGCCTGCATTTAAAATACCCTCTTCTTCAATCATAGTCCTAGCATTTCCATTTCTATTAACCTTAGTATAGAGATATCTCACCAAAAATAGAATAAACATATTAATATTGTATTAAAAGG